GACCTGTCCCATTTGCTAAGTCAGGTGTTCCCTCCATGTGGGGATGTCACCCCTGTTTTTCTGTTTGGATCTGTGATGATCCTTATTTTTGAGTAGAGGCTCTTCCGAGAGGCCGTTCGGAGCCCAGCTGTTTCCTTTAGGCTCTGACGTCTTCTCTCTCTTTTCCGGGACACTTCCTGGGTTATTCCTAAAGGGACAGCCTCATGTGAGCCCAGCCCGCTCCCCCATTTCACCGTATCCCTGCACTAAAATCCACTTGGGCGAAAGCTCTCAGAATGGCACGTCTTCCTGGAAGGCCTCAGTGAGTGACCATGGTTCAGCTTCAGAACCAGGAAGGCTCTGTCTCCGAAAGGATCTTGTCTACTGAGTAGGAGCTGGTCCCCAGGGACGGCTGTGAGTTGCTGAACCATCAGGCTGTGTCAGTGGTTTCTGGTGACATAGCATTTTGAATCTGGAAGCATCTGAGCTAATAAATGGCAGCTGTGCAGGGGAGGCTGGCGCCAGACTCTGCTCTATCACCAGCCACGCTGTGACTCTGGCCCCTTCAGCAACCCTCTGTACACCCCTAGGCTCTTCCAGTTCTGATTCTACAGTGCTGTCCTCTGCCCTGTGACTAAGTACGTTTTCCTGAGACCAAAATACACAAAGATCAGCCTGTGACTGTGTCGTAGGTGTTACTGCACAGCCGTCTCTTCCTCTGGCAGGTATTGGGGTGCACACTGTGGCTCTGGGGAACAGTCCTCGGTCATTTTCTCATTTCAGTGACCCGAGTCTCCTAGCGTCAGTATGTGCAGCTCCTAGTGGTGAAACTGGAAGCAGGCAGCAGCCACGGCTGTTTATAATGGTAAAATGGGGTCGTGTCTATCAAAGTAACACCTGTTTTATCTATGAGGTCCCTTGTTTAAGTTACTCATCTGGGCTGAGAGCCTCTCTGACCCCTTGTTTTACAACGAGGCCCAGGCAGGGTCCCAGAGCAGGAGCCAGAGGGGAAAAGCCTGGAGTTTCCTTTGTCATCCTGTTGGCCTCAGAAGCCACATCGTGTGCCCACTCTCTGATGGAGAGGCTCGCTTTACCTGGCTGCGGCCGCGCTGTTCCTGCTGTCGTCGTGCGTGTTTTGTAGACTCTCTGACTGCTCATCCACGGGTGCCTGAAACCTGGCAAGAGAGTGGGCACCAGAATCTCAAGGGAGCAGAGCCAGCTGCTGCATGGCCTTAAGCTCAGAAACCTCAGAACCAAACTCTGCCACCACTCATGCACCCACCTAGCGTTTCATTCTTTTGCTCCTCAAATATTTACTAAGGTCCAGCGGTTGGCAAGGGCCAGGCCCTGCCCTCACGGAAGCTGTGTGTTGGTTGGGGCAGACACGCTGAGGGAGGGAAAGGTGTGTGGTACAGGGCGCCAGGGGGACCTGCCTTAATCCAGGTGGAGTGGGGAAGGCCTCTGCAAGAGTACTACCCTTGTGCTCAGAGCTTCCAATCTGCCTCATGGCTCCAACCCTGCCCCACTCCTAATATGAGCAGATACTCAAGGGGTGACCTGACATCTGAGAAAAACCTTCAGCCTGGAAGACAGAAACCTACACAGGCTTAGAGGGCGTGGTGGCGCACACCTGTAATCCCAGCTACTCTGGAGGCTGAGGCACAAGAATCGATCGAACTTGGGAG